GCAGGAAGCCATTCCCCCTTGTCCTGTGCTCCAGGCCCCTGCTCAAAGTCCCTCTCCATCTTTCTTGTAGGGTCCTCTAAAGTACTGGAAAGCCACAATTAGTTCACCCCTAAAATTACAATCATTATTATAAAATAAATCATCATTATAAACAAATCTCCTAACAATTTAGATTCAGTTTAGCATTTATGGAAGTCAATGGAGATGAGGGAACAGGTGTGAGGAGATAAAATGGCTGATTAAGCTCACAAAAATACCATGTGCAGCTGTGAAGGATAAATTTTAACTCCTGGTGACATTTTACACACTCACTGGCAACCCCAAGAGCACAAACCCAGCCCAAAGTCCACTCCTTCCCGAGATAATGACATTAATTGGATCACTGGCCTCAAACTCTCTGTGGCCTCAAAGAATAAGGCTCTTGATCATGCAGAGGGAGGAGAAAAAGAGGATCTATGCACTTCATTTCTCTTCCAAAATTCAAGTGCAAAACCTGTCAACTTCTTAACATTCACTGCACAAACAGGAGTGGAAGTGCTCCAAGCTCCCAAAAAATCCAAGTTACCTGAAGATTAAATCGTTGGGTTTGTTGTGTTGGGGTTTTTTAATGCTGAGGGAGGAGTAAAACTGCTGCAGCCCTTCCTCGTGCGTTGGAAGGCTCCACAGCTGTGTGGGTGGAAGATGCTCAGCTTTGCTTATTGCTCCCCAGTGAAGGGCATGAATTCCACTTCCTATGTGGGTGACTTCAGGGATGTTAGGAATGACTTGAACTCTGATCCAAAGAGATAATTAAATTCAGTCTCCACTGAGGCACCGATGGAAAAAGAGGGAGAGTTCTATTTATTTATTTATTAATTAAAAATAATCCACTTCCAAACCCTGCTGGAGATCTGGGCTCAGATTTAAGTGGGAGGCACATATTCCATAATGAATTCTATAGATCCTACCATTCTGTAATGTTTACAGAAACACCCACAGAGGCTGATAATTTGCAAATGTTTTTGATACTTAAAACTGCAATAGCAGGAAGTGTTTCATTAATGAGAATTAAACTGCACTTACACATCCAAACATTTCATTTTTAAAAACACCACATTAATCAGCTGTGTGAAAATCAATTCTGTTGGAATGATGGGAGGAAACACGTTCCTGAGGAACACGACACAGGAAAAGAGGGAGAACAAGAATGATCTCTAAGGTCCCTTCCAACCCAGACAATCCCATGATTCCATGGAGAAAACACATTACCAAGTTCAGGAACCCACACTGACAAAAATCCCACCAGAAACCCACTGACTTGTTATGGAAGCTGCAGCAGGACGAGGTATTTCCAACCCAAAAGGATTCTTCACTTGTCTCATCTGCTTCTTCAATACTCTTGTGCTGGATTCTGTTTCCTCTGAGTTCCTCAGAATAACAGGGACACCCAACCCAAACCTAGGAGACATGACACGAGAAGAACAAGTGGGTTAAATGCTAGTGTTGACACATATGATTTTTTTTCCATCTCTAAATTCCAAGCAGCACAACAAATTGAGGTAGCTTGGCCCTGCAGAATATCTGCCTGGATGCATGGATACTATATATCCTGCCAATCTGACCTCAGCAGAAGGCAGGAGTCTTCAGGGATACAGACAAGCTTTAAAGGGGGAATACTTTGCTCCTGCATTTCCGTAAAGGGAATAAAACTAATGAGAGTGGTCAATGCCCTCTAGTGGTACAGGATTAGGCCAGAACATCCTCCGAACTCAGCTGCACATCCCATCCCAGGATCCAAAAAAATCACTGCCTGCAAAGAAGGAACATCCTTAACGGCCTGGATGCTCCAAAGGAAAAGCTCAGAGCAAACCGTTCAGCCCTGAGACCTTTCTAGGTGTAACTATAGCCATTAGGAGGTTTTGATGGGAGACTAAGATGCCAATTTCCCATGTAAACCCCAATTACAACAAAATGCTGATGTTAAATCAGGGGTGTGAAGTCTTTGCTTCGTGCCAGAAACTGAGTGCAAAATAGTCAGGACACTGAATCAAAGCTGAGACACTAAAATCCCTTCAGAGCCACAACCAAAGCATTAGAGCAACTGATATTCTGCCCCTGACAGCATAAGGAAGAAAAGGATTAAAAGTTTAAATAGCCTATGAAACAAAATAAAAATCAAAGCGAAAGAAGAAGGATATCTTCCAGAAAAGGAGGCTCAGAGGGACATTACTGCTCTCCCCAACTCCTGCCAGGAGGTGCAGCCAGGTGGGGTCAGGCTCTGCTCCCAGGGACAAGGGACAGGATGAGAGGGAATGGCCTCAAGTTGTGCCAGGGCAGGTTTAGATTGGAAAGTAGGGAACATTTCTTCCCCAAAAGGGCTGTCCAGCCCTGGCACAGCTGCCCAGGGCAGTGGTGGAGTCACCATCCCTGCAGGGATTTAAAAGCCATGTGGATGTGGCACTTGGAGACATGGTTAGTGGTGGCCTTGGCAGTGCTGGGGAATGGTTGGACTCAATGATCTTAGAGGCCTTTTCCAACCTTAACAGTTCTATGATTCTGTGACTTACAACACCAATTAAAAACCCCAAGATTTTTATAACACGTGGCTTTTAAAAGAACAATTATGGAAGATCAAGGAACTCCCAAACAAGCACTACAACAGATATCCTTTTACACTTGGCTAAAAGTACTTCACTTTCTAAGGTGACAGCCATAACTCCCAATAACCAAGAGCTGATCAGAGAAGCTGTCCCAGATATCCAGTCAGAAGACTCTGGAGACTGAAGAGATTTTCCTCACTGCATTAATCTAGTCCTGTCTCATTAGTAAGGCAACAGGGAAAAGCTTTGGGAGTCTGTTAATGCAGTTTACAAAACAGGAATTAGACCAGGCTGCTCCTTCCTGAATTTGTGCCTTTGTCACTGCCACCTATACTGCTGAGGTGTTGGCCTGTCTCATGGCTTTGAAGTTGGATGGATGGCATATTGGGATCTGGAGGACTCCAAATGGCACCAAGCACTGGCTCTTCCCTGCACTTAGAATTCTGGAATAGCAGCTGTTACAATGAGATGGGTCTCATCAATAACTCCAGCTGAAAAGGGCACTACCAGCCCTGGTGTAATCAGTTTGGAAATTGCTATAGTAATTTCATGTACAATACAGCTCTGAGCCAAACAATTTTGTGGCTTAACTGCTGCTTTTTCCTGGGTTTAAAATCTCTTCCAACTCTTGTGTGTCAAACGAGGATGAAAAGAGCTTTAACTGACACTGAGCTCCTTTCTCCTGATCCATGCTGGAGGGGTGCCCTTTGTAGGACTAACAGGGAGAAACATCAGTCAGAAGTGATTTTCAAGTTGAGGTAACTACTTACTTCAGGTGAAAAAAAAAATGTTCTCAAAGCCTTTCTCAACAGAAGAACCTGTACTTGGCAGTCTGACAAATATTTGCCTTTACCATTCAACATCTTCTGTGCCTCAGTGTCACAGAGGCACCAAAAGGGAAAGGGATTGAGCTAGCTGGAAAATACACTTGATACTGCACAGAATGGTAAAATCCCAGACTGGTTTGGGTTGGAAGGACCTTAAAGCTCATCTCACCCCACCCCCTGCCACGGGCAGGGACACCTTCCACCAGCCCAGGTTGCTCCAAGCCCCATCCAACCTGGCCTGGAACACTGCCAGGGATGGAGCAGCCACAGCTTCTCTGGGCAACCTGTGCCAGTGCCTCAGCACCCTCACAGGGAGGAATTCCTTCCCAATATCCCATCTATCCCTGCCCTCTGGCAGTGAGAAGCCATTCCTCCGGTGGAAACATTTGCATTTCTTCGATGACATTATATAGGACACTTGGCCATAAATGGTTTGTGCACATGGAGGGTCAAATCTCTCTGCTGCAAGTAAAGCTCCCACGACTTCACTGGGAAGAGTCCCAGTCAAACATCTCCCAAGGAAACCAGGTGCAGCAGCTGTTTCACTTAGCCAATACCCAAAACTCAACAGAGCTAATCTCTCCAGCAGTGCATAAAGATACCTCCTGTTTTATACCATCTGGCTGACTCCAAAGGAAAAATCCCATTCTTTGAAACTTTCTCCACTGGTCAAAAGCAACAGGATAATCTCCATAAAAGAGCCTCTGGTAGAGGTTTAGCAGCAGCTGAATGCAGAGAGGCCTTTCTGTACAGTAAGGTGCAGTGATGAATAAAGATGTAGTTTTTACTTTATGACCTAACAGTCTATCAGCACAGATCATTAGCTGGTAGAGGACTCACCTCCAGCCAAAAAGACACTGCACAGGTAAATAGGTCATCTAAATTCCTCTTCATTTCTGTGCCCAGAGCACCTGTTGGGTTGGCTCTAAAAGCTCCCTGGGCAGTAACCTACTTACTCCCTGAGTAGAGCCACAGGTATCCAGGGCTGTCAGAACAGACACTCCTCCAGTCAGTGCATCACTTTGCAAATGAGAACAGGAACATTCCTGAGCAGTTGGTGATTTTCAGGCTGGCTGACACCATCACCAACACATTCATAAAGCAAATTAATGCTGAAAATGATGGGAGAGACAAAGTGTCATTACAGCAATAGATCAACTGTTCCGTGCTTCTGTGACACCATATGCCTTTACAGTGCTCTGTGTGGCACATCAAATTGTTTTCATGAGCAGGTCCAAGAGCACTTGAGCTGTAACTGCAGCTGCAGGCACAGGAAGTTCCTTGGAGGCTCCTGGTCATGGCTGTGGTACAGCAGAATTCAAAGGGAGCAGTCAATCCCTCTGAGCACCTGCCCACATGTTCACTTACTTGTATGTGCTGAGCTCCTGCCTATGGCTTCTCCTTGAATAACTATTTCTTAACACACTAATTTGAAGAAAAATTGCATGTATTGCCACAAATTGCAATACCACTTAGTGCAGGTGCACCTGGAATCTCTGATCCTGAAATAAAAGTGCCTCTGGACACTCCTCTGCACACCCTGTAGCCCAAAATGCACCAACAGACACATGCACAGATGTAAGGACCTTGTGGCACACTAATTGCAGGGGATTGCCAGCACTTATTATAAGCAGATAAATAATGATTGCATTGATAAAAGGATCTTTGGTTGAGGATTTGTATACTGGAGATTTATTTGAATCATGGTTCAGTCTCATCTTTCTTAATTAGACCTTTATAATCAGTATCATATAGTTTTCTGCCAGGGAATCAGATACCTTTATCACCAGTATCATCTTTTTTTCAAGGTATCTTTTGTTTAAAGAACGATGAAGTGAAAAAGTTAAGAGAAGTGGATGGAACTTTAATACCATCAGTGCAGTGTATCTGAGACTTACAAAGAGGATTTCCACCTCTCTCCCCAAGTACATAATGAGGTGGAGCTTCATCCAGCAAAGAGAAACACAAGACCAGTTGCCTTCACTGCCACTAAACCAGCACTAGAGGAGAGGCTGCAAAACAAGAACCAAACTTGCCACTGGTTATTTATAAGATGCCAAGAGAGCCAATAGCTACAGCCCAAACACCTGCAATTCACAGGGTGAAAAACACTGAACCACAGCACTGCAGATATTAACGTGAAGCCGATGAGAGGAAACAGAGTTACTTGGTTTTATTCTCTCCAGAAGCCACACAAGTGTGTGGTGTATCCACAATTCCTACAGGAAATATTTTGATTGCTGATCAATGCTCTCTACGTGTCAAATGTCAGTATTTATGGACACTCCTGGGTGCTATGAACAGGCATCAGGGACCTGTTCCTACCAAAGGAAACAGTGACTGGAAAAGGAGCTGTTTCTGAAAAAGGAAAAGTGCTGGATCCTCTCAAACACAAGCAAAAGATCCTCCACTCACCAGCCCTCGAGACACTTCAGCAGATCAGTTACAGAATCACACAATCATTTAGCCTGGAAAAGACCTCCAAGATTAGTTAAGAGTACTGGAGCTTCTCTCCTATGAGGACAAGCTGAGGAAGTTGGTGCTGTTCAGCCTGGAGAAGAGAAGGTTGTGTGGAAACCTCACAGTAGCCTTACAGTATCTGAAGGGGCTATAGAGGAGCTGGAGAGAGACTCTTGGTTAGGAACCTCAATGATAGGACAAGGGGTAATGGGTTCAGAGTGAAGGAGGGACAATTTAGGCTAGCTATTAGGAAAAAGTTTTTTACTGTGAGGGTGATGAGACATTGGCACAGGTTGCCCAGGAAGGTAGTAGATGCTCCAACTCTGGTAGTGTTCAAAGCCAGGCTGGATAAAGCCTTGAGCAACCTGCTGTGGTGGGAGGTGTCCCTGCCCAGGGCAGGGGTTGGGACTGGATGATCTCTAAGCTCCATTCAACCCCTAAAATTCTATGATTCTATGATTATTGAGTCCAACCTGTGACCAATCCCCACCTTGTCAACTAGACCAGTGCACTGAGTGGCACCTCCAGTCACTCCTTGAACACCTCCAGGGATGGTGACTCCACCACCTCCCTGGGCAGCCTGTTCCAATGCTTAATCACCCCTTATGACAAAAAATTCCACACAATCTCCAACCAGAACCTCCCCTGGCACAGCTTCAGGCTGTTTCCTCTTGTCCTATCCCTTGTTCCTTGGGAGCAGAGCCTGACCCCACCTGGCTGCACCTCCTGTCAGGGAGTTGTAGAGAGCAAGAAGGTCCTCCTTGAGCCTCGTTTTGTCTAGTGCAAGGCTGCTCCACATCCCAGACACTTTTCCCTCCTCTGAGCGTTGTCAGTGACACAGTTCCCTATCAGCAACCCCGGGTGCTCTCACACCTCGACAACAACAACCTTCCAAGCCTGGCAGACTTACCTGCTACCCAGCCTACCACCAGGCACCTTGCTCGGTATCCACTGGTTCTATCATTTTATTTGGGATACACTGTTCCAACAGCGCCCAGTTTCCCCCTGAAGCCCTCCCTGAACCCCCAATCACTCAGATCCCCTGTGACCAGAGGTTTGGGCTGGGAGGGACTTACAGACAACCCCTTTGCACCCCGTGCCATGTGCGGGGACACTCCCCACGAGCCCAGGTGGCCCCGAGTCGCATCCTGCCCTGGTCCCCAGCTCAGCGCCACGGCACTCACCAGCCCAGCACCAAGCCGCTAGTCACCAGGAAGCAAACGAACACCACCGCGATGTAGAACAGCGGCGAGTACTCGTACAGCGTCACCAGGAACACGGCGGCCATGGGGCCGGGCAGGGC